CGTGTTAAGTAGAATGTCTCAAGTGCGGAAAAGTTATTTGTCCACAGTTTTACGATAAAGTTATTTGTGCCGCCGGGTATCAGTCGTGCGTTTGTGCATGCCAAACTAACCTTCGGAAATAACGTCCCCTGATCGAGCATGCAACGACCGCAACGGTGCATTGCATACTCTACTCTAGCACAGTGTAATGCCCAGCATCTAGCCTCGCAAGGAAGGTTGGTTTTAAAACATCTATTCCATAAGGTCCAGAGTAAAATGGAATGCAGCAGCTAGAAAATCTAATCAATTTCAAAATGGACGATGAATAGCTAATCGTGAAAGCTGTTCTCAGAAGTGAACACAAGAGTTGTGATGTGAATAGTTATTGCCTCTTTATATTTGTTGAACATCGTGTCCTAATTATCATTATAAAACACCTATAATATTGTTTAGATTTAAACCAATTTCCTCTTCAATAAACACTGCCATGCTCGCACTTTATTTGAATTTTGTTGAGGAAAAAGGAGTGACCATCAAGCAAATGATCTATATTTACAAATAGGTAAGTACGTACCGGTAAATATCAGTGCTACACATACACGAATAAATTTGCATTAAATTAGTAGAAACGTGTTTAATTTCCTACTTCATTCTGACTGCAACCAAATCAAATTTGATTTTATATTGTTCATATTTCTCTCTCTAGATAGGTATCCTTTAGTAGAACATTCTCTACTTTTGTACAAGACATACACATTGCAGTATCAGTGTCATCAACCTGCATAGATGTTGTAATTGGTGGTTAACCCAAACAGTCATTACAAACCTACATCCTACATCTTGGCTTTATTTGCTCTTTGTGGCTGTTTGTGAATACCTACACTTATAGAAAGCTTCTAAAGTTCGCTAAAAATTACAGCTAATTTTGTCTTTATTATTCGAATCAATTCGCGCCACTTTCCCTACTTTCAGTGGTTTACTACAAGATAAAACTTATTGTCCCTCTCTCTCTTTATCTATTGTCAATAAGATCTTCCATATTTTTCTCTCTATTGTCTACCATATACAGTTTATAAGTATCCTATTATTTTCTTAAGACAGTTCTTTCTTATTTGTAGTTAAAGGAAGCCCTTGGCCTTTTTGTTAAGGTATTCCCAAAGCTTTTATTCCAGAAGTAACTTTCACCATGAATTTAGTCTAAGTATATTTCTTAATTCTTACATACCTGCTTACTCGTAATATGTAACATGTATTCACCGTTTAAAATATCTAAAAATAATAGAACATAATGACTTAAATGTCACTTAAGTTATTGGAGTTCTATTAAATGGACATGCACCTATAGATACTGAGAAATTAGTTATTGAATAGTGTCTACCACCTGCTTTATTTGACATCCTTTAAAGCACTTACTACATTGAAACATACTAAATAATTTTAAATTGTTTTAATCCCGTAGATCAATAATAAGTATGGATTAACATTCGATGTTAGAGAAGAGGGGCTTAGAACTGTTTTACTTAAGAATCACCATACATAATAATACAGAAAAACTTATTATCAAAGTTCAAAACAAACTTCTACCATCAATGTAGTCATTGGCAGTCTGTTATCAAACATTATCAACATGTGCTCCAGTGACGTCTGCAAACACAATTCGTTCATTCAGTCTCATAATTGCTGCATAAACGAATAGTATCCCATCGCACATTTCATGTCTGGAATAGTGACGGCGATTTCACGCACAGTGACTCACACCAACACTGTTGACCCTGTTATGTTAGTTCGATGAGCTTTTTGCATCGACAACGTATTACTCATCAACTTAGGATAGCTCACGGATGGTCATCGACGAACTTATCACACGTGACCCCTCTCATGTCAGCTATCAACCTTTTATGTGATATCTTTTGTAATCTGTTAAACAAACGTAAGGCCAGATCATATTTGAATCTCTTCCAGATTCTTTACAATCCCGAATAAAAGTTCACATGAAACTTTGATGAATCACGCACTAGTCTTTACCGTTACTTTTACCTTGTTTGTTTCAAATGAGATTTAAATTCAAACTCGGCGGCGCAACGTGGCTTGGGGAAAATATTAACGTGTACTTTTTTTCTGAGCTTGAGTATCTAAGTACCATTTTGAAATTGTCCGAGAGAGACGATAGTTACGTCGTTCAACTTTCGTAGTGTACCACAAAAATAATCGCATCGTGTAATATCAATTGATTACGTGAGCGGTGACGTTTTGAGACCGACGCGGCAGTGACATCATCGTCACTAGTGTCGGTCAGCGTCACTCGATGACGCTCGCTATGAATAGTCATTGGACCCTATACTATACACACGTATTAATAGAATTCATTCTTCTCAAATTCTATCTTAATAGGTAACAATTTTTTTACCCAACAAAAGACATTGATTTCATATTGCTTGATTTTTAACTGCAAGTGAGCTTAGGCTACTAAAAATTTATAAATACTAAGAATGAGTTTTCATCCTTTCTCGTCAAAAGATATGGAAAAACTAAAAGGAATGTTGTTCATAATAAACAACCAATTAGAAATCAATTTTCAGGTTTTTTTTTATGTGGGTAATTTTACTGTCCCATTTTTGTGGTTTTCATTGGTTAATGATAAAATATCAAAGTTACATACACGACTTATGTATATTATTTGAGTTATAGGTTGAAAGTCAATGTAATTTAACAACATCCAAGACGATGACGCCATCAATCAAAGTTAATTAAAATTTATTGTGATGACTCTACGACACACAAGCCATTTAATTCTGCAGCCTTATGAATATTTCCTTCGTGTGATTTTCTTAACACCCACGTGGCGTGATTCAAATTAAAAATTATATTCTTCGGAAACGCATTGATGACAAAACGTCTAAATGAAAAAAAAAACATGCATATTATCTATTACGAATTAACAATTAGCCAATTACATCGCAATAGATGTGATTACTAAATTATTATTAGGTTTTTACAGTATAGGTAAAGGCAGGCTTTGCAGGCAAATTACGCCTGGTATAGTTTTCCTTATCTTCGTGACTAATCTATAGGATTACTAATAATCTAGCACCAGTGAGTAAAGTCAGGTCAGGTAAAGTCTGTTACCAGTGCTAGAGATTAGTAATCCTAAACTATGAGAAAGTTATGAGAAGATTAAGCTTTTTCACAACTTATTTGTGTTTAAAAATTAAACCATAGATCTATACTTATTACTTTAAACCAAGAGTAAGAAATAGAAAGATACTTTACTCCTTAAAAATTATTAAAAATTAAAATTGTTGGAAATATCGCTTAGGTACTAATTAAAGCAAAGTAAATTGCCTGGACATCAAAGTTCTAAGCACATTCAGTTGTCTAGAGTTAAAGGGGACCTATTCATCTGATGCAATTGACGACGCCTTTGAGTCTTATGATTGACACTTTAACAACTGAATTGATGCGTAGGTACCGTAAAAATGACAATACAATATACCGTATACCTACTAATAGTAACAATGCTGAAATACAAAAAGTGACCAAAATTAAAAGCTTAATTTTAAATTCCTAAAGACATTCCTTAAGAATAAAATCATAACAAACTAATAATTGTTAGCGAAATCAGTTTTGATGACTAAACGGTTTACGCTTGTGGCCAATCAAATGCGAGATATCTTAAGACTAATGGTAAAATAACGCTAAAGCAGTTGTACGAAACAAAACATAAAAGTTAACGTCTAGAAATATAATAAGTAAAGAAATAGCACGTACAAAAGTTGGTCCCTGTGACGCGGATGTAGTGAAGGCTTCATTATTATGTGCGGTGCGACACATTTCGTCCGACACACAGGCGCGTGAGTTGTATCGTTGATCGATAGCCGGGCTCTCCAGTGACTCACCTCAGCGTTCGATACCAGCCAATGGTTCCTTTGACCCTATTCAACAGGTTCAATGGTTCACTCTATTAGCCTTGTGCTGAATTCGAAGCAGTTAAACCATATTAAATGTTCTCGGAACAGCAACCGACACAAGTGAAATTTGTAACATGTTTCGACCCAAATGACTCTAAGATTTAGATAATGGTTTCATGTTTAGCTGTAAACGATCGTGAGCATTTACTGAGAACAGGCAACTCTTCTGATTAGTGTTTCTGTATGATATCATTTAAATAGGTTGCAGCGATGCATTCAGTTATACACGCCTGGTTAATTGGCTGCAAGTTCGTACGGCAAATAATTATGGAAGATACAACTCTACAGGTACTAAGTATAATGTGGTTTAAAATAACAGTTGAAACTCTTGCTGTGTTATCACCACCGTACCTGTTCTACCATTCCAGTAATTGCGTTCAGTGGAGGCAATTAAAATAAGTACAATCATGACAATATTGTACCTACCTACCATCTCTTGGCAGGCGAGACGACATGTCTATGTATTGTATGTCAGAAAGGCCATAATTTCCTTTGATATATTAACTTCGACCTAGACAGGGGTAAATCTGCATAATAACACATACACATTCATACATAGTGTTTTAATGAACGTTCGCGCCCCGGTTTTGGTGATTTTTTTCAAATACATCTGATCTTTTTCTGTTCTCTGTCATAACTACCTATTAATAAAAAAAACCTTTTTTGAGCGACGATTTTACGTTCGAGTGTCAAATTGTACCTGCGCAGCTTGCTGTATTTGGTTTTATTTTTGTAACATGAATGTCGTATAAATATTTATATATTAAATATGTTATTAGGAATCTTCAATTTAGACAAGCAGTTGTATACGTTTATACTACTTTGGTTCCCTACTACATTTTCCAAGATTTTCTACATTAAATAGAAAACTTTGCGTACGTGACAAATGCTTAGCTTATACCAATCTGGGTACTTACGTATTTTATTAAAGAATCTACGAATTTTTCGATTAAAATAAGATTTATATAACAAAAGGAAGAAAAACATTACAGAGAGCTTAAAAACCTCGTAAACTTGCGTTCTAAAATTTTATATTGAAACTCATTGTTACAGATTCCTCTCGATGGCAACAGCTTGAAACATAACGGCAGCACCAAGGACCTTGCCTCAGTCATGGAGAACCTGAAAAAGACCTCACTGGTCAGCCGGCAGAATCAGAGTCTGAACACACAAGTGGCCAGCTCCGCCCAGCAGGTAATCAATTGATGACCATAACTTATAGACTGGACTACGGCATTTACAACTTTTTTTTTCACTTATATTATGTTATAAGTAATACTAGAAGCATTGGTTAACCTAGTTTACCCTTTTATTAGCACGAATATCACTACCGTAGATACTTCGATTTACTTATATTTTTAGCATGGCAATTACAATAATTATACATATCTTTGTTTTCTAAAAATAAAAACAGTGACTTTCATCAACAATGAATATAACGAAGCTATAACATTATTTAATATGATATACTTGATATTAAAGTAAAGACCAATCGCGGGGATAGCTGTTGCGGCCAAAAGTTTGCCGCTCCAGCCATTATAACACCTTGCCAGTCCGAACGTGGATAGCCCGCGGAGGCCTGAAACTTTGAATTCTAACCAATAGCAATATAACAATGTTGCTGTCCAGTTGCACCAACAAGTAGTATTATAATAAGTTCTTCCATAAGGTGGTGGATACTTTCCCATGCGGGTGTTTCAATTCGCAATACAAATCTTCTACGGCTACCTTGTCTATATTCTTCCACTCCAACATTTAGAGTTCATTAACATTTAAGTAAACTACAAGTATTATCAAATTTTATGTTGTTATTATTATAATTCCACGTAATAGGTACGCGATGATTTTATAAATAGGCACTAGTTATTTCGGTGTCGGCCTCGACCGATTCATTTAATGTCTAGTATATTTTGAATTCCCCCAACTAGATTCGGGAAAATAAATAAATTGTAAACGTGGCACTGTACAATGTTATATGTACCACGACAATGTGATGTGTAGGGACATCTATTGTTGTCTGTATAGAAATTTACAAGATGCGCCTAGACTTAAATTTACACAACTACAAAAAAAACGTATACAACTACAAAAATAACTTTTTAGCGTTATTAGCTTCTAAAAGAAAACTGCAAAAAATACAATTAGTTTTAAAACTCGAATTATTGGAAGTTGTATAATCCGTAAGACAATGTAAATTATTTTGATTCCCTTGTCACTATTAAAAAGATTTTGCATAGTATGCTCACAAATATTGTAAATTCGAAATTATGGATGTTTGTTTGAACACGGTCACTATCATTATCATGCGATTATTTTGCATTTGTAATCAGACAATTAAAAAAAGCTAATGTTAGACTTCTTCCAGCAATCATTTCTCAAACAACTGCAGGTATTATCCTCATGAAATTCTTTTATTTTGCCGCTCGGAATGATGCCGAAGCTAAATCTTCCGCATCTCGTGTGAATGCACCACGCTTCGTAAAGCGTGGCAACATAAGCTGAGTATCGTACCGGGTCCCCCACGCATCTCAGAAGAATACTTACTTACCTTTTTAACGAATAACGAGGCGCACGAAACCCTCAAGTTTTGGACACGAGGTTCAAGGTCGTAGCTTGTTGCATCTCACCCACGCGAGATGATTCACTTGATTTGCTTCACAATCACAAATCTGCTGCCAAATCTTGAACAATTTTTCTCGGAATAACACTTTATTCTTTAAATAGACAAAAAGGCAACAATAATTATAGTTTTTTATTGTTAGCAATCAACGTCAGGTTATTCCATTGTACTATGAGTACCAACGTAATATTTGGAAATGTGGGGATACATTTAAATATATACTTAGAGACATCAATGATCTTTAACTTATAAAATAAATGATAGAAATGTAGTAAAAAAAATACAAGTCTGTAACCTTAATTTAATTATGGTAATTTTTTATTGTCTTTCTTATCAAATAAGTATAATCATTGAACATTATACTTTAAATACATAAAATATTATATTATTGTATCATTATCAATAAATTACGCAATATTAACCAATCAAAAGCCAAATATTAGGGTCAAGTAAAGAAAATGAAATAGTAATAAAATTCGAAAAAATCTGTGCTATATTGGAGAATACAATGTAGAGTGATATTGTAAATTCGCTAAAGTAGAGCGACATGGTAGAAGCGGCGGGCGTGGCAAACTGTCAATACTTGAATTATTCTAAAACAAATTTTCTCAGCTAAATATAAAAAAGCAAAGTTATTTTGGTGATCCTGTTTTGTCATAGCATTAGCTGTATTTACTCCGGTCGCGGTTGCGCCAAGACGTGTGACGCCTTTCCTTACGGTCTTCTCTACCATTGGCACTGAACACACGGAGACAGTCCTAGTGTTGATAACGAGCTCGAGTGAACAAGACGGTTAATGTTCTCTTAAATTAAATTCAAGGAAGTTTCAAAAATCTTTCTAAATCGTCATGTCTTATGGTATTTGTCTGTTTATACAATAATGTAACTAAGGCATTAAGTATGCATTTTTCAAACTTACAAATTTACAATATCTTTTCAGATGGTTTCTAGTACAACATCAAGCAGTGCAGCGACGAGCCAGCGTGTGCAGAGCTCGTCGCAGAGACTTCAGCACATGACAACCTCCGAAATGAAGGCTAGTTCGATGAAGTCCGACCTCACAGAACTGAAGAGTTCTATATCCGAGATGAAGAATTTGAGCAACACAGCTGCGAGAAACTTTGGAGGACGGTCAGTATGATTGAAGTTTTTTTCATATGTACACATAAATGCCATAACATAACGCAAGCGGGCAGAACTACTCACCTGTGTGGCCTTGGCCATCGGCCAATTCTCATCCGCTCATTCCCCGTTCTATGTTTGCAGTACCATACCGACAAACAATAGCAACAACACGGTTTCTGAGAGATTTTCCCAAATAAATTTCAGTTAAATTACAACGAAGTCGTGTGAACTCAAAACAAACAATCCCGTGTTTTTTTTTTATTATCAGTCATTACTTAACACCATCGCACGAATCTTTAAAGCATATGGTTCTTGGAAACAATTTCAGGTTGCGAAGTTCAATGGAGAATATCGTGGATCAAGACGGTCTGCCGGACCAACATCTGGATATTCGTGACTTAAGCGATATGGGTGATATTGGTGATATGGGTGACATGAGTGAGCTCGCGGGGGATGGTCCGTTGGTGACTTTTCCTGAATCCGATACACCTCCACCCATTGTCGACAAGCCCTCTTTACTGTCTGCCAGCACAGCATCGGTTGGCTCAAACGCTGCAAACGAGTTAAAATACAGCACAGCTCGTGTAACGTCTGCAAGTTCAACACGTGTGGTGGCTGATGGATACAGTGCCTCAAGATCAGCAGCAAACAGTGCAAAAATGCGTCGTTTACAACACGGCGACGTACACTACGCGGAACACAGCGCTGCCGGAGCGTCCCACCGTTTGTTGCAAGCTGAAGGACTTACAGCAGAACAAAATGCAGCGTATCTTCAGGTAAGTAAGAAATAGATATAAATAAATTAACAACTCTTTAATGTTCGGATTTCCACTTCTGCAAGAAATTAATTTTTATTTATTTATATTTGAATCTCAGGAACTGTTCATTGATAAACATAGGAGTTAGTTTTATGATACATACTTTCACCCAAGGATTAATAATAAGTTAAGTTAAAAAAGTTTCTTAACTAGCCACTAGTAGCGTGTGCTTCATGCCATAAAGGCGCGCCGAAGGACATGACCTCGCGTAGCTCCGACAGATCGATAGTCTAGGGCGCCGTCTGAACATCGGCACCCCAAAACGCGCAGTACTGAGCGGCTACTTGCCACGGCAACAACCAACATACCATTGTTTTTAATAATAAAAATATTCTAACTCATGGATTCGTAAATTCACTATGGCGACTGCCCGCATCATAGGTTTTGCGGGCAGGATACTGCGTCGTGGAGGATCACCGAGGGCGGTGAGCTCATTTGTCTTCCTCCGCTTATCGCCGTTTGGGCTGTACCACGCCACTCTCAGTCAGTGCCTGACCGTCGTGCGCGCGAACACACACGGAAGTCAATTAATGCGCGTGCGCGCGCAAGTACACGAATAGTCTGTCTTAAATATAGACTCGGAATGTCTGCGGGCGGGGGGTCGGCCCCGTGGCCGATTCATCGTGGTGTCCTGTCACGCTTTTCACCTCGGTCACAGAATCCTTTGGTGAGAGTTCCATTATTTGCCATGTCCAAGTTCTGTGAACGATAACATGTTTATATAAACTTCCCACCCACTAAAAAAACAACCGTTCTGAAATTACTCGCGATTGGCCTATATCCAATAAGAACGATGGGCTGTATAATCCGAGTTGTGACGCTCACCGAATTTCTAATATAAAGAAAATTTCATTCCGGGAGTAGTTGTCGCGAAATTCAGTCGTACTAAATGTCTTCGAAACGCCGCATACGCCCGAAATTGCGTATAGCCATCGCTGTAATTATCAAATATTTATTTTGTGATTCATCACGTAAAAGTATTGTGCTAAAACGTTATTGTGACCTAAAAGATAAGATGTTCACCTCTTTCGAGGTCACGTGTTTTAATAATTTTCCAGAAATAATGTGTGAAGTTTTTACGTTTTTAGAAAATTTATTCACGCTCATCAACGTATTTATCGGTGAAAATGTGATTTTAGGAGCAGAGATCACTAAGAGCTGGGGAAGTGTCTGCTCAAGAAGCAAACAACATGTCCGCGTCGAGCTCAAGACTGCAAACAGAAGCATTCAGTGCGGCGAAGAAGGCGATGGCCACTGCACAAGCCCGTCAGACGGTCACGTCGAGCGGGATGTTCAGCCACAAAGAACACTCCAGTATTGCGCAATCTAATATGACAATATCAAGCAAAAATATGTCAACCAAATCAACACTTCTTTCCTCTCAGGTAGGCTTTACATAACTTATTATAGTAATAATAATTTTGAAACACTAGCTATGATTAGGCATGACGACGTGAAAAACATATTTAGTTTTAGTATCTCAAAGTAAATACCATAAAACCTACTGTTTACCTTTTCAGATGAGTCAAATGTTGAACGGAACCGTAAAACCCGGTGACGAGGACCTCAGCAATCTAACGTTTGACGATTTGGACAGATTGAATGGAAATTCAAATCAAGCTGATGTCGAAACCGCCATCCAGAAATATTCGTCCCGAATGAATGCTTTTATTTCATCATTAAAGAATAATCAAATGGATATGAATAATGCATCACAACATTTCAACAAATTAAACGAAATGCTAAGAAGAGCATGGGCTGTACCAACATACGGACATGAGGTTGGATATTCGCTTTGCAACACTCTAAGGTTATCCGGTGGCCTGGATATTTTGATGGCAAACTGTTTGGAGTCCAGCAATCCTGATTTGCAATTCTCGTCAGCTAAACTTCTCGAACAGTGCCTCACGACTGAAAATAGGGCGCATGTTGTAGAAAACGGACTCGAAAAAGTTGTGAATGTAGCCTGTGTATGTACAAAACATGCAAATTCAGTCGACCATTCAAGAATAGGCACTGGAATCTTGGAACACTTGTTCAAACACAGTGAAAGCACCTGTAGTGATGTTATCAAACTAGGTGGTTTAGATGCAGTTCTGTTTGAATGCAGAAAGAATGATGTCGAAACTTTGAGACATTGTGCAACCGCTCTTGCTAATCTCTCCCTTTATGGAGGCGCTGAGAACCAAGAGGCAATGATAAAGAGGAAAGTACCAATGTGGTTGTTCCCTTTGGCGTTCCACACCGACGATAATATAAAATATTACGCTTGTTTGGCTATTGCAGTTTTAGTGGCTAATAAAGAAATAGAGGCTGCCGTCCTAAAGTCTGGTACACTAGATTTAGTAGAACCTTTTGTAACATCACATAATCCGTCCGAATTTGCTAAATCGAACCTTGCGCATGCCCATGGTCAAAGCAAAAATTGGTTACAAAGGCTAGTACCAGTATTGAGCTCTAAGAGAGAAGAAGCGAGAAACTTAGCAGCATTCCATTTCTGCATGGAGGCTGGAATAAAAAAGCACCAAGGAAACACTGAAATATTCAAAGATATTGGAGCAATAGATTCTTTAAAGAAAGTAGCGAGCTGCCCCAATGCTGTGGCGTCAAAATATGCGGCACAAGCTTTAAGGCTTATAGGGGAAGAAGTGCCACATAAACTGTCGCAACAAGTGCCTCTTTGGTCAATAGAAGATGTTCGTGAATGGGTGAAACAAATAGGATTTTCGGAATATGCTACCAATTTTTATGAGAGTAGAGTCGACGGCGATCTGTTGCTACAAATAACAGAAGAAAATCTGAAAGAAGATATTGGTTTACAAAATGGAATCAAACGTAAACGGTAATTATTGATACATTTTTTCTCACGAGTAAGATTTATTTATCATTGTGAGCACATATAATGATGAGATAGAAATGACGTTGGTTCGATTACAGCCTAGTTCTAGCTCTAGTTGTTGTTGTTTATTTTCAAGTTATTACTTAGTTTTGCGAAAATTAAACATAGCTGGTTTTTCCATCCTTCATTTTAACTGGTATTATATTTTATTTTAAGAATTTCTTCTTTGTCGTTTATTTGCTTACTCATGTTCTGTAAAACTATTACTTACATTGTCGACTTGTTATTTTACAGATTCACTCGAGAGCTTCAACAGTTGAAAAAAATGGCAGACTACACATCACGTGACACAAGTAGTTTGAATGATTTTCTTCAGACCATTGGACCAGAGTATACTATTTACACTTACTCCATGCTAAACGCAGGTGTGGACAAGCAATCCATTGGTGGATTAAGTGATGAGCAACTAGAGAACGAATGTCGCATAGTCAATAGTATCCATCGCCTCCGGATATTGAATGCCATTAGAGGTACACATTACCAAATAAAATTTTAACCATTTCCTGTGATATTTATGTTACCAACTAATAAAATAATAACTTTTCTTATTTTAAGCTTTCTCATTAATAAATGTTACCCACTTATAGAATAACACTTCTTATTAAAACTTACCCGTTAATAAAATTGTAAATAGTTTCTTTTAAATACTAAACAAAGCTTTCGTTAACAAATAAATACGCTGTTTTATTTCTGACAAATGTATCTAATATGAACCCAAAAGAATACTTATATTTCCTGCTACAGACACATCTACACCGACGTCGCAGTATCTTGATAAAAAACAATCTTTTCAAATAACAACTGAGATTTTGAACCTTGCTTTATGGAACCTCCTTTATATATATTTTGCCATGAATAAAATATATTATTATATTATATTTTATATTACAGCCTATGAAAGCACCCTGCCGAGCAAAGGGGAAGAAAATATGGAGAAGAATTTGGACGTTTTCGTGAGTTACCGCCGCTCTAATGGTTCCCAATTAGCCAGTTTGCTCAAGGTTCACTTACAGCTGAGAGGTTTCACTGTATTCATCGACGTTGAAAGACTGGAAGCCGGCAAGTTCGATAACAATCTACTCCAAAGTATAAGACAAGCGAAACATTTCCTATTAGTTCTCACACCGAACGCTCTAGACAGATGCAAAGGTGATAACGAGCAAAAAGACTGGGTGCATCGGGTAAGCACTCATTTATAATTATAACATTCCATATGTCAATACTTTAAACAACTTATCTATTCAAAAATAATATTGAATGTAATTTCAAACAGGAAATAGTGGCAGCTTTAGAATCACAGTGCAACATCGTACCTATCACTGACAACTTCGATTGGCCGAAAGCTGAAGATCTCCCTGTGGATATGAGAGCGGTATGCCATTTCAATGGCGTTCGGTGGATTCACGATTACCAAGATGCCTGCGTAGAGAAACTTGAGAGGTAAATACATAACTCGACAAGGTTTACTAATAATTAAGTAGGTACTTATGAAAATATAAAAATAATATTATTTATTTCACAGTTTTCTACGTGGTAAATCAAATCTTACTAATCGCCTGGAAGGGGCACTGCGTTGTCGAGGCGATGTACAAACTCCTAGCACCGCAACAATAGGCCGAGGACCACCTAACTATCAACGTATGGCCTCTTGCGAGAGCAGAGGGAGTGATAAAGCAGATTGACTAGAGTCGACCATACATGCACTGCCGCCTGTTAGGTACGACGAATATTGTATTGCCACTTACTTGGAATAAGCCTTTTGTAATGTAGACAAAATGTTTTAAAAACAACTTTTTCTTTTCAGACCACGTCGAAGCCGCCAATCGTCCTTAGAAAAAGCTTTGCCAGCAATCTCACAGAGCTGTGATCAGTTATCTAGTAGTAGCACATCCAAAACCACATCCCCCGAGAAATCCTTGTATAGCCTACCCGAAAGATTATCTGAAAGCAGTGATAACTTAGATCACTGCGAGTCAGATAAAACTTCACGTAGGTGCCGCAGCTGCGAGGGCATATTAGAAGCAGACGAACAAATGCACACGCAACTTTCCCTGCCCGCGCCACTAGACGCTGCAACACAAACTAAAAGGAAAAAGAACTTCATGGACAGATGTGTTAATAAAGTGAGACTGTGCTGATGCTTTATCAAGACGTATTGGAATGTGATACGAGTAAACATGCTTGCAGAGTGTGTATGGTTATAGTGACTGCCTATTGGACCTTTCGCATTTTATGTGAATTCTATTTTAAAGTACAAATGTGCGCACAATGTGTAAATATTTTGTGTATGCCATCTTAATAATTAGCTAGTTTGAACACAGCAATCAATTGGTAAATAAAAAAAAGATGTAATCTCAATGAGTGTGTGTGGGAGATTTCATGCGTCGTCGTGACAAGATCGCTACCCTGTCATGTTTTAAGAACATCGCACGAGGTGGTGATGGATATGTTGTGTAATATTAAACACTTGACGCCAGTTTTGCTATTCATGTATTATTATTAGCATTTCCTTCACTCTGGCATAATTTTATCTCTCTATTTCTTCGTCTTCTTCTATGAAATGAATTTAACAATTCTATTGTTTATGATGCTTGTTGTTTAGTTCTTGCCAATGAAGTAATTGTGAAAATAAAACATACAAAATTGTACTTTGCATTGTGATAATCTAGATCTTGTAGGAATTAAAATTTTAAGTATAAAAGTATGCCGACATGGAAATCGAAATGTATCTAGTACCGCTCCGTACTTATTTATTTCAGCACCCTTTATTTTATTATTATATCATGTACCTATCGTAGTTTTAAAGGAAATTGTACAAAATTTTGCTTTTCGATTTATGTAGGTTACATTAGTTCTTTATAATTTTAGTCATTCATTTTAACAAGTTAACCATTATAAAATATACAAATGTACCTTGTCGAAATTATATATTTATGTACTAGATCTAACCACAAATAAATGGTATTAGTAAAAGGAGTCTTTTTTTATTTAATTCAAGAATACCTACTTGTTTTATTGATCATGGATTATATATCACGCACGCCAATCACTAAATGAAACAAAATGGGACCTGTAAAAGGCCTGAAACGCTGAATAAAGGCTTGAAATTGTGGATAAGTTGAGAAGATGAAGTTAACATTGAAATGAAGATAACGCTGCTTGGGGTACGCATAAAACCCCTTCCACACGACACAATTTGATTGCCGATTGAATTGGGTACAATCTGGTCGTCCGTCTACACATACACAACAAGATCGCCAATTTCAGTTTTATTTGTTTCCTCTGCTGAACGGACTTGTTTGTATTAGGGTGCCTTTTACCAAGAAGCAAAAAACTGGATTAATGTTTGCTCTAACTACAAATGTAGATGAGAAAAAAAGAAAAAGAAGACTGGACAAAACAATGGTTATTAAAAAGAAAGCAATTGGGGCACTTAAATGTAGTTATATTATATTTAAGTGACTCAATTAATAAACTTAAATATAGTTATACTTAAAGAGTAATATTTTTAAAGAAAATATAACTAGAAAAAATTCCACGCGGACCAGGCAGCAGACGGGACTCGAACCCGCACCCTTCGAAAACCCTTTAAAATATAACTGAGTTATATTTTCTTTTGATTTAAAGATCAAGCAGTTACATGCTTTAAAAATAATAAAAATTATAACTATAATTGCTATTTCTTCTTTCAAATGTTTAATACTTGTAAAAGTATTCATTTGACATTGTGGGTTACCTATAATGCGAAGAGATGGCGCTGCCTTGCAACTTAAGAATGGCTGGAAGAATTTCGACGCGGTCCGTGAGGGCCGCGGTAGCATAATTGGTCAGTGCATTCGCCCGGATTGCGAAGGGTGCGGGTTCGAGTCTTGTCTGCTGCCTGGTCCGCGTGGATTTTTTTCTAGTCATATTTTCATTAGATTTAAACATCATGCAATTACATGCTTAAAAAATAAAAATTATAAAAAAATATATATAATATTATTTCTTTTTTACCCCAGCATGCGCACATATCATAGAGTAGAATATAAATTTAATTAAATGATTTTTTTATTTTCAATAACAAATAACTGCCTGGTCCGCGTGGATGTTTTTCTTGTTATATTTTCTTTAGATTTAAACATCAAGCAGTTACATGCTTTAAAAATAATAAAAATTATAACATTAATATTTTTATCAATATTTTTCCACTTATTCCGCAAAATCTCTAAGGAATTATGCCTTGCTTATTTATTTTTATATAATGGGTTAGACACATCCCAAAGGCATGGCAAGTCTTTACATATATCTAAAATCTCCTCCATTACTTCCCGTTCAGATCGAATAGACATAATATTGTCGTCATGTTGCTCCATCTTCTTCTCAAAAGACAAGTAAACGGACACACCCGCTCTGAACGCCGCTTGCACAGTGACTACGTTAAAAAATTGGCCAGTTAGCGTCCACACCATCCAATTTGATTGGGCAATCCCGAATCGGGCGATACCGACCATCCAATGACCTTCAATTTCATATTTCCGTCCACACAACACAATTCGATTGTCAATCTAATCAAATTGGACGTAAAATTGTATCGTGTGGAAGCCACTTAAGCAGTATTCATGCGGGCTATTTAAACTTTACGGCTCTATATTCAAATTCAAATTCAAACTCATTTATTCAGTCTAGGCTGTTACAAGCTCTTGTGAAAGTCAAACGCTACGCCATCGGTTCGTAAATCTACAGCGGGAGACCTTGTACTGAGAAGAACCGGCAAGAAACTCAGCAAGGGCTATTTTTTTCTCCCTGTTTTGTTTCATACAGTGTCGTCAATTGAAAGATGACATCAAAAATTGAATACATGTGTTGATGTCAACTTCCATCACATATATATTATTAATTAACAAAAGTTAAGTATAACTAGGTACTATTTTTAAATTTAGAAGTGGCGATTAAACAATTTTCAACCAAATTAGCAAAGTAAAACGACAGTCTATTATGTTAAGCCCAAGGTGACTTATCATTTATGAAATCTTTTACAGTATAGTAACCTTTCTTAAGGAGACATGTTTTTATACACACTTTAAACTTATTAAAAGGTATATTAATTATTTCTTTTGGTATTTTATTATAGTAACATATACCTTGACCCACAAATGAACCAAGAACCTTTTGGAGTCTCAATGGTGGCAATTTGAGTTTATCTTTATTTCTGGTATTGAAATTATGTACATCATCGCGCCTCGTATATAAATTTATGTTCTGACGCACAAACAATATACAATTGTAAATGTATTGAGAGGCAACAGTCATTATACCTATTTCTTTAAATTTATCCCTAAGAGAAGTTCGAGATCCCAAGCGGTAAATAGCTCTTATAGCTCGTTTTTGAAGAATAAAAACTGTTTCAATGTCTGCGGCCGTGCCCCGTAATAGAATGCCATACGACATAATGCTGTGAAAGTAGCTGAAGTATATTGTCCTAGCAGTGTCGACATCTGTAAGCCGTCTTATTTTATAAATTGCATAAGCAGCAGAACTTAGTTTACCGGCTAGTGTTGTAATGTGAGGGTTCCATTGAACCCTCAATGGAACCCTCACTAGGATATATAGGTCATTTCGCCAAGTTAATCTATGGTTAAACTTTTTAATACAAAAGTAGGCTATATCTATCACAAAAAACGGCCGTGGTAGCGCGCCCCGATCGGGGCGTGTGGTCTTTATTGAGGATGAAGTTTATGTTAAAAAGTGTTCTATTTGATCATGGTGTCGCTGGCTAGTCACGCACGGGAGGTGAAATGTGGGAGGTGGGACGGTAGACTACACTCTTACGCTCCACGTACGGCCGTGGTGTTAAATGAATATAGATTAATATACCACCACGTCGGAATTTCGTTATCTATTTCTTGTAATTAATTTACCAGTTACCTTATACAGTCCAAGTTATTTCATTAGTATTATTTTTTAGTTTTTATTTAAGTCTACATAGGACCCATAGGAAAATTACCTTCGAGCCAATTCAATGTAAATAGGACTATGTGTAAATAACTGTGTATAATGTTAACTGGTCGTGTTAACTGGTATATTAATTATAAGAAATCCCTTGGTTCGATGGTACCTCCTCCCGCGCGTCTCCTTCCGTGCGTAAGGGGCTGGTCGGCAATATTTTTTCCACATCAGCACTTTTAACTTCACCTCATTTTACATTATTGCACAAAATTATTTTATAAGTTAGTTCGCAATCAACAAGCTACCATAGCGCGCATACTCATTGTCCATTGTCAATTAGCAAAATAGTTCTTTTTTGGTATTTAGCTCAAATATATCTTTTTTACCAATGGTTTTGATTCTGTCACAATTCTCTAAACTTAAAACTAAATTTAACATCAGTGTATAGAGAATGACAGGGATACACTGTTGTCAAATTTAAGTTTAGGTTTAGGTTTAGAGAATCATGTCAGAATCGACACCAATATCAATTCTCAACATTTATCAGGGCAGCCCGAACAGGTGCATAGTCATCAAATTCACTTTAGTAAAGGATTAACTTGTAATGCTTACCTACCTTGAAGAAATATGAAAATACATACCAATTCCATAAAATGATTGCATCCTTGTACCCCTTAATAACATTAGAAGACATCAGTAGCTCATTTCACCATGCAATTAGAAGTAGCAATGTCCATATACAGTAAAGTATTTTTAGGATCTTTTTGTTGCTGTATATTAGTAGGTTCTTCACCAAAGACCCTATCACTATTTTGCCTGGACCTTAAATTTAATACAAACTCATACTACATGCCATGCTAGATGACACATGCAAGTTATCAGAAACCTCTTCTTGGATCAATTGTGAACCTTATATAAAGTGATGTAAAGCTCAGAATCAGTTGAAAAAAATTTATATCTGAGTCTTGCTGGTATATAGACTCATATTTGTATGACATTAGCTGCAGTACATTTTAGTTTAATCTAAAGAAGCTGGATCTTTCAATTGATAAATTTATTTTATAAGGCTACCAATTCCCATCACTGAGCTGTCTAAAATCAGGCTTGCCTACCTGGGGGCCATTCGCCCCCATTAACGGAAATGCTTTGGAAAACGCTAACGCTTTCAATTTTATTTTGTTGTTTCTGGCCGCCTGAGGTTTTCGAATGCCTCGTGCTCTTTTTTTTTCTTTTGCATTGGTAAAAACAATTTAAAAAAAATAAGTGTGAGGTATTTGAAAACCTTTGGTGGTCAGAAAAAACAAAATAAAATCGAAAGTGTTAGGGTTTTCCAAAGCATTTCCGTTAGGCGACTGGCCCCCTGCTCTGTGTTTTCTTTGGCTCTCAAAACATTTGAAATGGACTATAAGACATTTTAAGGGTTACCTAATACCTATGCCATCAGCTGGCAGTACCTCATGAACCCTAACAATTTAATGTCTTTTTATGTGTTTCATCAATTCAAGTGGGGCCTTTTCACAGATTAGGCTTACAGATGCACACATGAAACCATTGTTGATTCTTCCAGGTATGAACCAAATTTATTAAACAGTCAACAATATAGTCAGGCAATATACTAAAAGAACAAAATAATGCACATGCCTATTTACTAAAGCCTTTAATATAAAGATAGTAGGGCAATATTATCACATTGCATTTAATATCATTTTAAAATTAAAGATTATAGAATATAGTTATTAGAAGAATTATCTTTAAAGTGTTTTAATAAAACAAATACATAAAAAGTTTATAAATTTATTCTTTAACTCAAATATTTTTGTTTCCTACAAAAACAAATATAAAATATAGCTAAAACTTACTCTATATTAACAAAACTTTAGACAGTTAACCTCATCACTGTACCTATTTGTTTTAACTTCTAAAAAAGGGCAACAACTAGGTAAGCTATAATAAATATTAAATAGACAATCTGTATCGCAATTACCTCAATTATTAAATGGTCAAATAGAGACACACAATAATACCAAAAAATATATATATATATATATA